AACCTTGGAGCTGCCGCCGCCGCCTGGGCGTAATGCGAGACAAGTGTCGTCGCTTAGTCGTAATGTGCTTAGGTGCGCTTACTTTCTTTGCCTTTGCCGGCGAGTGTAAGTGTTCGAGTGTGTTTCTTGGTCCATGGACAATGCTAATGCCTCACATAAACCGATTTACTCAATTAAACTTTAAAATCACAAAAAGTCCCTATCTCTTGCTCTCGCTTAGTTTGCTTTTGGTACGGTTTGGTTTTCTTTTCAAGTGCCTTATGGCCCAAGGCAAGGCGAAAAACTGCGAACGTCACAATTTAATTAAGTTGAGTCTCTTGAGCGAGAGCAGCATGCATCTTTTTTGGCTATATCTGCGGCTGATTGTTCAATAGATAATATTTTTAAAATAACTAATGGATTGAGTTGTATTTTTTGCTAAAATAAACAAAACCATTAAGATGCTAAAACAAATACAAGTTGTTTTGACAGCTATTTGCTAAGGGAAATTGTTAGAAACATTAATAAACCAAAGACTGAGAATAATTTATGATATTTTGAGGTAACAAAATTGAAAAAATCGAGTTAAAAAACCAAACTTTAAATGAAATGTCACCTATTTAAGCCCAAACTCATAATGGCCATCGACAGCCGCTGTTTTGTGGGTTTTTGGGTTCACAGACTCACCACACACACACAGGTCGTAATCGGATTAACTGATAGCCGAGTGTGGCAGTCACGCCTGGAGAGGCCTGCTGCATCTGTCGGATGCGAGATACTCTAATAGATACTATGTTAGATGCTGCCATGGCTACAGATACGCGATGCATGACCTGGCCTCGGCTCATTAGGCTTTCGCACAGCTTTTCACTCAATTAGCGCAGCATATCATTTGCATACGGGGCTCTAATTAAATTATGCTGGAGGATGGGGATGTGGCTGTCATGAGATGTCAGGGACTGGAATGGATCCTCCTGCTGCTCATTGCCTAACGGCAGAATGGGAGCCCCAACAATGGGACATTAGTTGGGGGCCAGGCCTATCATTATGTAATTTGTCGGGGCTCTCGGTCCCGGAATCTTCAGGGGCTCCTTACCATGGTGATGTTCTGCGATGCCACGATATGTTCTTGGGCTCGGTCAGGTGGGCTGATGTGCTGATGTCAGAGCCCCGTCGTAGCCCGCATCATAACTTAAAATAGTAGCCGCGCTTCATGCCAGCTAATTAAATATTTTAAAGACTTCTTTTCTTTTTTTTTTCTGCGCATTTCGGCGGAACGCGGAGGGAGCTGTCCTCCGCAAGTTGCTTTAATCTTTCGTTCCAAGAGACGAAAATTAAAATAAATTAACATAAAAAGTCAAAGAAGCCCAAGAAGCCGAAATAAAAGTTATGGTAACCTGCTCGCTGCAGTGCCACTTAATTGTCATGATAATTTTTTCTCGGGAGAAGAAGAAGTACTTGTACGAAAAGACTGAAAGCTGAAAACATTCCCCCCAAAACAAAGGCCCGAAATCAGCTGAATTAATTCGATTTAAATATTGAAAGTGACTGAAAAGTGACTGAAAGTCGCAGAAGATAAAGATACCAAGGGGAGAAAGACAGTTCATCCAACTCATGTGGTTTGAAGTTCAGCATACGCAGTGTGGGCCAGTGATAAAACTCCCAGAACTTTGCCGGCAACAAAGTGTCCAACTCCCGTGAGCGATGGAGTGTACGGAGTTTTAACAAAGTTTTTCAGCCTATCTAGCCATCCATCTTCCTATCTATCTTTCTTTTTATTCGCCAGCGGAAGTGCTCAACTTGATTTTTATTCCTATTCCTATTCAATTCCGCAAATCTCCAACCGCAGGCTGAAACCACACGACTTAAAGTGCCCTAAGTTGAGGCATTTATATGTCATTATATTGGCAAAGTCACAGACATTTCAGGCATTTTTAATTAAAATGCTGCAGCAGATGTGCAAAAAAATAAATAAAAGCAGGAAAATAAATACGAGGGAGAGAATCTGCTGCTGGAAAAATTGCTGAAACCACAGAATGAAATCGGAATGGGGGCCTGTGGCATAGTAGCAACTACAACTAGACTCCGTTTCCGATACCCGTGTATTGGCCATGTTTCCTGTTGGCTCATCAATAAATCTGTATTCCTGCCCGGCGCCGCTGCAGACAAACTCTGTCAAAATTGGCCCTGCCAGCCAGGGTTCAAAGTTGTATTACAGAAAAAACTTCAAGCTACCAAGTCGGGGATTTCTTTCCAATTTTTAATAATTAAAATTAATATATACATTTTGCTTGTTAAGTAAAAAACTTTTGTAAAAATAAGGCCAGATGCTTAAGGCATTTTATGCTTCAAAAAAGGATATACAAATTTATTGATAAATTTTTTCTCTGTGCACCACAGAAATCGTCTATAAATCACACTATTTCCGACCAGTTTCAGGGACAGTTTTTGTCCGAAAGTAAAAAAAGGGAGCCAAAACCAAACACCTGCTGCTGTATGGACTCCAGTCATGGTCAGGGCCGGCCCTTCAAATGTCAGAGAGTGTCCCCCGGCACACTCCCTGCTGGCCAGCTGCCAATGAAATCTCTGGCAAACCAAATAACACTCAAAGTCATTTCAGGTTGAAAATGTTTGCCATCCAGTTGGAGTTTGAAGGCGGGAGACGGGCGCAGGATGGTCACATATTGCGGCAGCGTTTTATTTGCATTTTTTATTGGGCCCCAGGCCCCAAGGAACCAAAGGAACAGTGCAGGACCAGGACCACCAACAGGACCATACTGCTGTTGTAACTACTATAAATATATCGTTTTGGCTTTTATTTCAATGGGGGTTCGGGCTCGGGCTCTTTTCGTGGAGGTCTCTCTCTTGGTCCAGCCATAGTTTGTATTATTTATGGCTAACTAAAAGCTTTTACATTCGGCCAATTTTAGTTTTTACGAGTTTGACAAATGTCGCTGGGCATTTAAAGCTCTACTGGTGTGGGCATAAATTCTAATTAGAGCTGTGCTCGCTCGAACTTTCTAACAAGAAGCTAGAATTTTATAAAATACACAGGAAATTTTGATAAGATTTAAGTTATGTTAATTCTTTGGAATTTGAGCTTGTTTTTCGTTGAAAAACGTATGCAAAAAGTATCATTTTTGTATATTAAAATTCTTTACGACAGTCTGGGTGCCAAAGAAGTCTCTGAAACTCCTTAAAACCATAAGGTTGTTGGCCAAATTGTCAAAGAAAAGACTTCCTAATTATTAGACAATATAAAGGCACCCTTAAATTTAAGCTTCTCATCTAAATGCTTGCATTTTTAAGGAAGTTTTAATATTTAAATATATGTCCAAGTAAATACTCCTTTAAAAACAAGGAAATGTATACTTAAAAACAGCTCAAAACCCATCATAATTTTCCCCTGTGCAGGCACAAAACTATTTGCACAATGGCCATGGCCAAAAGGCCAAAAGGCAGACGAAGTCTGGGTCCGCGGCGCGTGGCAGTTACGTTAACGTTAAGTTAACGTTAGCGGTGCACTGGTGCAGTGGTTCGGGCCAACAACGAATTACCAACAGCCAACAGGCAGTCAGCCAGTTGTGGATGAATGAGCCGGGCCCAAATGAATGGCTGCAATTTGCACCAGCAGCCGCAGCAACAGCCGCCGAAACGAGCCTTCTTTTTTATGAATGAATAACTTTGAGGCCGTTTTAACGCCCGGCTGGCTGCCGCTTTAATTTTGTTGTAAGCAAATTAATTTTTATTAATTGGCAACCGTAAAGATTAAAGCGGCTTATGCAGGCACCAGCAAAGTGGCCATAATGGGAGGTCTGGTCTGGTTTTTGCCCTACACAGTGGGAGAGAGGTTGACATCTCGGTTTTAGCCCGAAGTTCAGATGGGGAATATTTGCGATCGCGCGATGGTGGCAAGTACCCATGAGGAAATGAATAATTATTGAATCTCGCTGGCGTTAAACAATTGCGCAACACACGTCACACACTTGTGCATAACACCGGTTTTAACGGCCCGTAAATGAATTATTATCGGCTATAGAAACTGGCTTTGTATTATATTTAATTTACTGAATCAGTATTACTCATCTCCAGGCGGAAATTGGTTGTGGTTAAAGAAATTCTAACTATGGGTTCTTCAGTGTAAAAATAGAAATTTATGAAAACTGATAATTTAGTCTTTGGGAAATTAACTTTGGGAAATATCAAGCTTTTTATGTTAAAAGAATGCAATTCATCCTTAAAATTAAAAATTAATATAAAATTCATTCATTTAATTTATTTTTCCATTGATAGCTTATAATTCCCTTTGATCAAAGAACCTAAAATAAAATATTTTAAAATTAACAAATACTGAAAGTTTATATTGATATTATTATTATTTTTATAGGAGCAAGCGTTCATAAATATTTAATTTCAGATTTACGTTATATTTAAACAATTTCAGAAACTATTGTTTTTAATTTTTTATCTAAGCCTTTAATTTGTTTTCTTTCTTTTAAATTTGAATTTATTTATGCATTCACATATTTAAAAAATAAAATATTCTTTTCGTATGCTTTATACTTTTTAATTATATTTTAATTTTATTCAAATTAATATTACATTTATTTTCCATAATTTATTTTATGAATACAGCCTTTTATTTATTTATAAATTAATACAAATGTTTATTCAAATTGTTAAATGAGTTTCATAGTTAATTTTATGCGTAAATTGCGTTTTATTATCTTAGAAATTTCCGGAATTATTTTTATTTGCTTTGTCTTAAATAAATTTCATTTAATTCAAAGTTTATATTTGCTTTATAATAAGTTGGAGTTATTTGAAATATTTTTTTATTTTCTTTATTTTAATTTATTTTATTTAATTGTTTAGTCAAGACTTTCAAGAATAAATTGTCCTCTAAAAAAATAGAATTGAACTCAACTCAAAGCAGATTCACTCAAAAATCACTTGCACTTCCGCTCTCTCTTCTCGAATGTCCTTCCAGCAGGACCTTCTCGTATGTTTGCTCAACTCACCTTTTTCACTCAAGAAACAGAACGATTTTTCGGCACAGAACTCTTCGTGTAGATTCGTGTGATTCTGTGTGAGCACTAGCCACGGATTTCAGTATCTGTGAGATACTTTTAGCACAGAGTTATAAGATCCTTTTCGTTTTTAGACCTTCGGTTTTTCGAAACTTTTAAACGTAGCTCAACATTTCGCGCACTTTTTTACTTGCAATTTTTGGCTTGCAGTTTTTGTTCGATTCACTTGACAGTTTGTGTTTGGGATTAAGCTGCGTTAAGTTAAAGGGCTATAATGTGTAATCCACTGGGTTGGCCAACTTCTTCCGATGGCTGGATGGGCTCTGCGGCTGCTGGGGACACACACAGAATCAGAACCAGAGTCGCCACCAAGGTACAACCGCTTCATAAAATTCAAAGAGACTCGGACCCAATAGCTTCTCGCCGCTTATTTATATAGCCTACGTAGCGCGGCGATTTTTTGAGAAAAATCAAAAGTACGTAGCAATCCTCTGCCGACGCTGGCTGTGGCAGCGCAGAGGCAGAGGCAGCGGCAGCAGCAGAGCTGCAGCGTGAGAGCCAAAGAGAGCGCAGCCGTTTCAGAACCAACAAACAACACACACACAACACACGGCGGCACACTCACTCACTCTCCCGGCAGAGACAGACAAAGACACTCAAATGCTCAAAGGCGAACTCATCATTTGGATCTACGCTGCCGCCGTCGACGTCGACGCAGCGCCAAGCCGGCTTTGGCGGCAGCGACGCCGACCGCAGCAGCGACGCGAGCATGTAACTTTGGCCAACTTCGAGCGCGACTCTCTTTTCTTTGGCCAACAGCACAGCAGCAACAACAACTCGGCCATCGGCTCAGGTCGGCTCGGCAAGTTCTTCTTCCACGCCACGCCAAGCCGCTTCGTGGTCGTGGTCGCGGTCTTGGCCATGGCCATCAGAAAGCAGCAACAGCACCAGCAGAAGCAGCAGCAGCACAAGAAGAAGAGCGATTCGCACTCTGGCCAAAACCGAAGCTCAACACGATGCCGATGGATGATGATGAGGATGATGATAAAGATGATGATGCCAGCGATGCTGTTGCTGAGGTAGCAGCCTCATGTTGCCAAGTGGATGTTGCTGAAGTACACTCAGATAAAAGCCTATACATTTCTTGAAAACTTCATGAATATGAATAATTTGTTGAACAAATGCAATTTTTATATTTAAAGAGGAGAACAAGGAAAGAAAAGCTTTAATTTACTCAACTTTCTGTAACTTTAACTTTAACTTTCAAATTTTAAATATTTGATAAAAGGGAAACATTTTATCATATCCTATCTTATTTTCCCACTTCATTTCTTTAAATAATTCAGCTATTTTTTCTTAAGTGTATCATTTTCTTCTAGCTTCTAGATGTTGCTGAGTTGTTTAATGTTGCTGCTGTTGCCGCTGCTGGTAGTGTTGTTGTTCTTGTTGTCAGAAGTAGCCGGGCCAAGATGCTGAAGATGTTGCTGCCGCTGCTGCTCTGGCACTCAGTCAGTTGGCCATCAAGCGGCGCTTTGCGGTTTCGGGCTAAAACCAACTAGCAGTCAAAGCCTTACTTATTCGAAGTCAAAGGCCTGCAGCGATTTCGAGTACAGGTGTCGACGAGCACCGCCGCTTCTAATTAAACAACGTTCAAACAACAACAGACAGGGACACTGAGAATAAATTAGGCTCAGAGTGGAGAAGATTGATTTGAAAATAGTTATTTTTTACTCTCTTTATAAATCTTTTAAAGGTTATTTCACAAGCCTGAGTTACATTATTATTTAGAATTCAATCCGAATCACTCAAAAATCAAGAACTTTTCCCTCTTTAACTATTTTCGCTCAGTGCACGCACACAACAAATAAGGCTCGGATGGCCAACCGGTTTTTGGGCCATGTCCATCTCCGTCGCCATCTCCATGGGGCATGTGCCATGTCCGGACTACGACTACGACTACGGACGATACTCTCGCACTATTGTGCGTGACTCCCAAGCTCCGGACTCTGGCTGAGTGTTGACCTTTCCTATAATTAAACACTGCTGCTCGCAGGCCCTGTTAATTGTTTTTCTGCTTTGCGCTTCGCGAAATTCCTTTGTTCGGTTCAATTAATTATTTAATTGCGCCAGAAGTTGGCAATTTCGCACTTGGCTTTGTCTCCCTTTTTGGCCGAAGTCTAACCCAAACTCAAACCCAAGCCCCTTTGGAACCAATAGAAGTCGCGCGCGCGCTCTCCTCACTCACTCACTTTTTTTTTTTTTTTTTTTTGCTACCAACTTAACGGCTGGAAATTGCGATTTCTATGCGGATTCTACGGATGCTGCGGATTCGATTTCGGGAGTTCGGGAGCCGGCACGTCCATTACACGACGCGCACGTTTCGCTAATGAACTGAACATTTCCGCTTTGCCGGCATCCTTTCTGGCCGCTGTCGCCGGCATCTCCAGCTCCTTGGTCCTTTCGGTCCACGTCCATCCAAGATGCGCCACTGCGCCGGCGCGTGTCGAACATTTGAGCGTGAAATCTGTCGCATTGCCACAGCACCAATCTCCATTAACAGAGGCCGCTTCGACCATAAAGAAAGGCAAAGGAATAAAAACCACCCGCTCCCAGCAGCTCAAACTGCTCCTCAATGCCCATAGCATTGGCAAGGCACTCAAAGAAATGGGCTAGTAATAACTGAATTTAATAGAAACGTATTAAAAGTATTATTCCAATTTATTGAATTTCAGTTTTTCATGGGAATATATCATGTATATGTTTATTATTAGGTGATCTTAAAGCTTAAATATGGTTCTTGAATAAGATATCCTTAAGCCGTAGATGCTCTGTCTGAGATGGCACATTACATTGTTTTACATTGAAATTTGTTAGGTTGATTGGGCTTGTTGAAGAATATATATGGTTTATAGGGTCGGAAATGATTCTTTCACTTCTAAAAGTATACCATATGAAAAGAGTACTGTTTTCCAAATATTTTCCTACTTTCAAATTTTTCTCTAGTGCATTCTGGTGCTACGTGTTGCCGGCATTTGTCGTTTTGCCGGCTGTATGTGTGTGTGTGTGTGTGCCTGTGTTTGCTCTGCTTGTGACTTCAGTTCTTGTCGGGATGCTGCCGTCTCGTTGTCGTGAAATATTTTTGGCATTTTCGCTTTATACGTGCAAATTTTATGGCTACAATTGGTGCGAAATGCCGAAATGCCGGACATGCAAAACGCTAGACAGAGAAAGCGAGAGGTGAGGCGATGTCTGGAGGAGCAGGAGATGGCTTTCGCCCCACTCTGGACGGCTTTGGCTCAATTGAGTTGGCCATTGTGCACATAGAGGGTACACAGGGTGCAAAAGGTGGCCGAAACGCAGCTTCTTTGTCACTTTTTTTTCTCGCGAAAGAGCTTACGAGATAAGATGAATTTCCGAACGAAGATTGGGGTTTTTTTGTTGCTTCTCTTGTTCTGGTCCATGAATCACGGTTCGCATTTAGAATTACCTGTCGACGAGCTGGTGCTGCTGTTGCTGAACGAGTGCCATTAAAATCATTAACCATTAAGGCTGAATGAATGAATAAAGCTGGAGATGGGAAACAGATTTAAATTCCATCACCTTTCGGGTTTACTCCTGGACACTCATCGCACCCTGTTCGGTTTAGGGATCTCCAGCTTTTAGTGGACAACTATCCGAGATGGGGTCTGCGTTCTAACCACAGATGCAACCCTCGCAGAGCTGCTGGCTAAGTGCCATCCATCACAGGACCAAGGCACAAGCAGAGGCACAACCAGACCAGAAACCAGGACAACCAGTGCAAACGCTTGAGTAAATAAATAGCCTGCGACAGTTTTTGCCACGAGCACACAGGGAAAAAGTAAAGTTTATTTTGGTTTTTAGTTAATATTCTTTAGTCATTTACTTTAGAGAGGATACTTTAACATTTAAAAATTTTAAAAACGAGATGCTTGATTATTAAATAATAATTGTAAAATAGTCTAAATGATTTTCTATAGCATTTTCAGTTGAAATTTTAAGGTGAAAAATTGGTTGTGAATATTTAAAGTTTTTTGTACAATTTTCGCCAACAACTTCATTATTTATAATTTTCTAAAATTTTGTAAAAATCCCTTAAATGTTAATCCTTTAAAGACCGATTTTTTCCGTGCATTAGTGAAGCGTTCGGGGCAAATGCCAGGCGACAATGTCGAGTGATTTCCATTGTGCGATGTGACAGGTGTCACCGGCCGTGGACAGGTGGGCGGGCGGATCGACTGGGACAGAAGGCGGGAAACAGGAAAACAAGGCAAACAAGGCTAACAGCCTGCCAGGAGGTAAGACTGGAGACCGACCACAGAGTCCAGAGTCGAGAGTTGAATGTCGCGAGTCGAGAGGCTTCATGACCAATTAGCCTTGTTAGCGGGATGAGCTGCGGGCATTGGGCCATGAGGCACTGCCACTAACGGTATCTGTATCGGTCAGCAGCGGCATGTGCTTCCACTTCCACCTCCCTGCCGCTCGAGAATTCCAGAGGAATGACACTCCACGCACGCCCGAGTTCAATTGATTTAACATGAAAGTGTAGCTCGGTAAATTGATTTCCAGAAAATGTTTAACTTTGGCATAACCCCCCTCCACTCCACCAAGCACTTGGCCAATTGCTGGACTTTGTTGTCGTCTCGAAGTTTAACGCTGTTGCCAAGTGGCTGTGGGATGGGTCGTCGAACCAGTGCTGGGCAAATGGAGGAGATGAATCAAGATAGCCAAATATTAGGCGGACTTAAAGCGAAATAAAAGAGGACTTGAGACGAAAAAAGAAGTATTTTAGACATTAAGATAGCTTAAAGTTTTGGGGTTTCTAAGGAAATTGCTATAAAATAAAAGAACACTTTGTAATATAAACCTTTGAATATTATTATAAAGATATTTTGAATATTTCCAGTTGAAAATGCAAATTTATATTTAATATCTTAATATTAAAATCATTTCGTAATCATACATTTAAAAAGTAAAATACATATGCTTCCCTAAAAAGATACACTTCCTTTACTAAAATAGCCAACTTGGCAATTCTTCCCTGGTTTATCCAGAGCGTGTAGGACATATCTCCGAAACCAATTCCTGTGAACTCCTTCCCCTGGACACTATGTCTTCGTCTTCATATCAGGACAAGTATCTGTAGCTGACCGTAACGAATTGCGTCTGTTTCGGTTGTTCTTGTTGTTTGCCAAAAAATATAAAGTATATTCCATTTTGCAACCCTCGAAGCATGCCGCTCGTCGCGAGGGTGATGACTGATGACTGCCGGCGCGACTGTGCGTCCTTAGTCCCGAGTCCTCTGAACATCCTTACTCCTTCCTTTTCCAGTTCCTTGGGAAGCTGTCTGCAACTTGCCGATGAATCTTTTTTGTTGTCTACTTTTCGGTCGCTTTAAAAGTTCA